AATAAATAAGATCTGCATAGACAACCACAAAGAAAGAGCTTTCAAATAGATTCTTTTTCTTTGGGAAGGGTGGAGTTTGAGCTCAGTTTTGAGAGGGAGAAGAAGAGCTCATCCTCTGAAATGGGAAAGATAAGCTAGTGAGAAAAATGCACACAGACAAGTCCAGGATATATCGCTGGAGGAACAGCAGGTGAAGATAAACTCAGAGATGATAACAAGGTTAGAATGAAAGGAAGAGTAGCTCTCGAGCTTGCTTTCAGCAAATCCCACATCTGTATTTGTTACAGGTACACAAATCTATGTTTTGAGGGAGAAAAACGTTGGTTATTATAATAACTTTGAATGTGCCTATCAGATTTGCTTTGCAATCAGACAAGGTTTATAGTTGCTTCTCCAAGCCTTTCTGTTGTGCCACAATTTGTAGCCATCTGTCTGCTGATTTCTGACCAAAGGATTCTATTCCATCAATGCCCCATTAAATTAACCTCAGAGGGCTGAGAGCACCATGTCAGAGTTTCACTCAAGATAACTTTGAGTTAGTGAATTGACCCTCAGAAAAGCAAGATATCCTTTCCTTTTAACTTATGTTAGAACTAGTAGAGAATTCCAAGTTCTTCTAGTTTAACACCTTGTTCTTCCATGTGTTCATTCATTTAACAAATATTCATTGAAACCACTCTATGCCAGGTTAGGACCTTGCTTCAAGGCTTTACTATGTATTCAGGGGATGCAGGCATTTAATAATAAAGTAATAAATTATGTCAAGTGTGGTAAGTAAAGAAAATAGGCATGGTGATATAATGGCATTACCATGGAGGGGATAGAGGATTAGCTATTGTAGATGGGGCCAGAGAACAGTGAAAAGAACTCTTTGAAAAAGTGACTTTCAGCTGAGATTTAAATGAAGAAATGAAGGAGAAGAGAAGATGGTAGAAGTTAGAGGCAAAGAGAACATGTACAAAGGCCCTGGGGTGGGGAACAAGAATGATATATTTGACAAAACAAGCAGTGGGAGAGAATGAGACTTACAGGAGCTGGGGAAGTGGGCAAGATCTACCACTAAAGCTAAAGAAGTCACCCAGGGCCATAGCACTGTAAATGGGTAGGCAGGGAGGTGGAGCAGAAGTTTCAGATAATGGCATGCACAGCAGACCAGATAGAGGATCCTGGAGAATAGTAACCTTGAGTGGCAGTGACAAGAGGAGCAGTCCACAAAACACGTAGGGATCTCAAACTCAAATGCCTTCAGGGGCCAGGCAGGTATAAGCCAGTGAAGCAGGCCTGGATATGAGACAGAGAGTCGTGGCAACTGTAGTGACCTAGAGGATGAGTGATGTGCCTGACAGCATTCAGATTCATTAAAAAATACTTCATAGGCAAAATAAAGCACATCATTAAAAAATACTTTGCAGGCAAAAATGAAACACATATGAGGAGGCAAGCAAAGCCCCAGGACCATCAGTATGCAATGCTGAGCTGGAAGAAAAACAGGAAGTAGTCTGGGAATGAGAAAAGTCAATGGAATATGGTCTGTAAGTCAGGAGTTATATCTTATATTTTCATGAACTAAACAAAAAAGAATATGTTTTATTAGACAGTCACCCAAATGCTGCCATATTAATAACAAAAAACACTGTTACAGAACGTGTATAACCTGAAAATGGAGGTAATGCTCAAATGGATCAGATTTATAAAGATGGGAATCACAGGACCATGTGGTCCATGCACTGACTAAACGTAGACATCCTCTTGAAGAATCAAGGCACCCACTCTGTGCTTGGATCCAGGGAAGGGTCACACCCTTGCAAGGTACTCTACATATTCAGAAGTTTTTCTCAATTTGACCTGTCATTATGTAGAGCTTTTACCTGTCTCCTTGCTGCCTGATAATCCCAGATTTGCCCTCTAGAGGCACATAGAACCTGCCAGCCCTTCGGATACTTAGAAATGGTGACCCTATCACTACCTTTCTTCTACAAGACTTTCCTTCTCCAGACAAAACATTCCCAACAAACTATTCCCCAAATCTCTGTTTTCAGATCTAATCACCTTTTTTGCTAATCTTCTCCAATATGTCACTGCCCCTCTTAAAACAGTGCCCAGAGAGAACACAATGTTCCTAGCTGCTTAATAATCTATTCTAGGGCTTCCTTAGGCATCATTTCCTACATGTGCAGCAGCAGGAATACAATCACATTTTTCCAAGCTCAGCCTCCTGCTGTTCCTGTTTCCCACCCCCACCTTCCAAGGCAGTCTGCTTGTTGAATGTCGTGAACAGGTGCATAATCAAGAGCGAGTGCTCCCATCAATATAAAGAATGCCGTCCCTCATCACCCCATCATTTCTGATTAAGATCACTCAGTCTAATGTACATTATGTCTTGTACCAATAATACCTGAGTGATGTTTCATGCTTTTCATGCCTCTTTCTAGATATTATCTTATTATAATATGTACTCAAACTGGAGAAGCATTTTTGTACAAAGAGGAAGATGAGTGGTTAAACGCAGAGGTAAAATTGGAAATCTAACCCTTGGAAAGAAAGCTGGATGGGAACACCCAATAACCTGGCTTTGAATCCGGGTTCTCCATATGCCCACCATTGCTACTTTTTAAAAAACAAAATTAATGATAAGAACAGAAACAGCTACCTGTTAGTACATTCTTAGTATGTGCCAAGCCCTGTACAGTATGTCATGCCACACACATGGCGATCTTTTGAAGTAGTATGTACTAGTATCTCCATTTCAAAAATAAGGTAATGAAAACATAGATGTTAAATGACTTGCCCAGTGTCACACGGTTAGTATCTGGCACTGCGATTTGAACTTAATTCTCTCTGTTTCTAGAGTTCAATCTCCTCAGAGCCTTACAGTACAATCTCCCACAATCTCTTAGTGGACACTGTCTATAGTACATATGACTTACCCATTGATAAGGGGGACAAAAACAAAAAAAAAGATCTGCTACTATAATTACCTTTCCTGAGATACTTCTCCAAATAGGTAGGAAGTAGGAACATGTGTTGCCTTATCTGTGGAGCTAGAGATGCCATTAGAGTAGGCACACAAGGCAAAAGAATAAGAAAGGAGAAAAAGGCCATACACCAACCACGGTGCTGGACGTCACATCCTGAACTGGGCTGAAATGTATCCATGTGGCTTCTGTCACAAGCACATTTGGAACACAAACAAGATTTCAAGGTGAGTGTTCAGCCTAAGAAAACGGTGTTTTCATGCACTTTTAATACCATTTTAGCAGCATTCACTTGTATATAAATCATGTGCTAATTTATTCATTAAAATGGCCTTATTCAGCAACTTTTTATTAACCTTAGTTTATGTTAATAAGATCAGTACGTATATTTTTCAAAAATTGCATCTCTTTATAATTACTCCATAATTCTGATTTTCTTCCAAGGTGGATTAAGCCCTTAGCAATCCCTAAACTGCATTCCGCATCCAGTGAAAATGAGTTCAAGTTATAGTATCATAGGATATGGCTTTGGAAAGCCCAGATTTGACAGAGAGCCAATTCCCAAACCTGGTGATGCATAAGAATTTCTTGGGGATTTTCTTATACTTCTATAATTACTGATTTCTGAGTACCTGTATAATCTACTGGATCAGAATCTCTAGGGATGGGACCTCCTAGGAACTGAGATTTGCAGCAACCAGTCCACAAACAGCACTTGGGTACCAGTGACAAGACCATTTTTACCCTGCACAAGTCCACTGCAGCTCCTGGAAGACACAGGGAGCACGAGATACTAAGGGAAATCCTATAAGGCATAATAACCAATCACTTCAAATGATCCAGGGAGTCCCAGAAAAATTAATTGTAAGTTTCATTATTAACTGCTGACCTCTCCTTCTTTATTTTCAGGGGTTGAGTTTCCATTTTAATGCCCAGCTACTGCAAAGAAGCCCTATAGACACACAAAAAGATACATAGATTCCATCTGGCCCCTGGAAACCAGATGGAGATAATCATGCGGGTTCATTTGGTAGAGCTACATGACCAACAGCCAAAATAAGAAAATGAATTTTAAAAATCATTCTCAAAGGGTTAGAACAAGAGTGGCAAAAAAATAGCAAATATGGTACCTCTCTTGTATCTGACACTCATGGCAGGCATGACTAATTAATCACAGCACTTTTCCTTGTTGCATCCAGAAACCACCTCAAAGTCCTTTTCAATCAAGCCCTCCAGGGTGCTAGTGCCATTTGATCAGCTTTAACATGTGGGGAACATGTTTCCCTTCCTTGGCTAGAATAGGTAGATAAAGTGAAATTGCTTTACATTTTGTACCAGACTGATCCATCACACGCTATGTGCTCCACATGGTGGAGATGGACATCTGGAGGTTCTCATGAAGACGAGACCCTAAGAGCAGATCACCTGGCTCTTGCGGAATCCTGTTTTTCAGTGGTTTCACATTTATATCTTTGAATGGGAGTATCCATAAATCAAGTATCTGCTAAAATGTTTATGATACATGGGTTATACTTAGGTCATTCAAACCAACCTAGTTTCTGCTCAAAATAATTCAAAGCTCCACCTTGAATAAATGCTACTGGGAAAGATAAGCTGAGTTCCAAAGTGTTTTAAAAAATTAAATGTAGCATTTGCCTAAAAGAATCACATATCAATCTGCTTAATTTCCATTGGTAGCACTGTAGATTTTCCTCTATAGAGATTCTGAACCATATCTCCATGCAAATATTAGTGTCCTGGTTGGTAAATGACAGGACAGAAATCACAAGCACACTTGGTTTCTGCTGGGCTTCATTTGAAAAAGAAAATAATTATAATTAGTTTTTCTTGGGTTCCCATGATGGCTGTTCTTGACTCCATGGCCTCTATTGTCACTTTCCAAGTCTTACCTTGATAGAATCCCATTTAAGACCATATCTGGGGTGGTACCTGGTTCATCAGGTTGATCGCCTCACACCAACAGCCCCTTTGATCTAACAATAAGATAAGAGGGAGTACACCCACCTCATCAGAGATGCTGTCATTCCTGTGAAAGTCTCCAGCCTTCCTGGAAAGGACATGGACATGAACGTGCTGCAAATGTACAAGAAAGAGAAAATAAAACATGATTATCTCCCCATATATTGTTAGACTTGACAATGATATTCTCATGAAGCCCAATTACTCCACCTTGGTTCCCGCTGGATTATTTTTCAGAGGAAGATGATATTCACCTTCAGTGACTGTATCTGAAATCTGCTGAGAATAGAGAGACACAAAACAGGAGAGTACAACTAACTCAGTGGCATATATGAGAGCTGGAGAGAAATGCCAGCACATTTCAGAGGCTCTATGGAATTATTCATGGCTGTCAGTCTTGGTTGTATTTAGCCAGTGCTTTGAAATGACAGCACATCTTCAAAGGTGACCACTGTGACTCTGAAGCTGACAAGAAATAAGCACTGGTTAACAGAGAGCTGTAAATAAAGAGCAAAAGAGTGAGAGCAGGAAGTAGTATGGGCTGAGTCAGGACTGGGACTTTGATTATAGAACAGTAATATAAACAGTTCTCATTTATTAAGCTTGTATTGCATTATCTAATTTAATGCTCTTCTCTAAAAACCCCGTGAGGTAAGTTCTACAAGGAGCTCATTTTACAGACGAGGAAATCAGTGCTCAGAGAGGTCAGGGCCCCCCAGGAGGCAGTGGAGTCTGCACAGGCGGCAAGGTCGCCGGGTTCTTGTCACCACGTTCTTCATCAGCACATGTGCCGATTCCGTGAACTTCATCTTTCAAACAGCCCATTTCTCTAGTCTACTAAAGCACCGGGTGATATACATAGCAATGCTATTATGCAGACATCGTGAATCAAGGCTCATAGGGTAGCTAATTCAATATATTCTTTAAGGCTAAACTGCCATTTGAAAGTTTTACTTTCCAAATAGCCTCTATTGTACCTCAACTGAAGTTAAACCGCATTCCTGCCCTTGAGCTATGTTCCTGCATTTATTACAAACCGTGGGGAAGAATGTGGAAATGAAAAGCCTGGACGTGGAAAGGCAGACAAAGAACCAGACCTCAACCCTGATCACACCCACCCCTTCCCGGTGACTGTGGTCGGCTCCAGCCTCCAAAGAGCCTCCAGAGAATGTAGGATTAAGTGTCCCTGTGGCTTTGCTGTATAAGGAGTGGGAAATGATACGCTATTAAAGCAGAGGCAGGGAGCAAGGTGGTCCAAGGTGAACGAAGCAGGCAGGAGCTTCACTACAGCCCCTGAGCACACAGTCCCCAATGAGTGACAGATTTTGCCAGAATATTCTCCAGTCAATGATGAAGCCAATCGCAGATCCCTCAGCAACTGGGGTGAGTATGTACTTAAGTCATAAAGAATTTATGAGCATAGGGATAGAGGGGAAAAAATAAACAAGGAAAAATAGATCACAAATGACCCATGGAACCAAATTCTTAGGAGAGCCATGCAGGGTAAGCCCAGACCAAAGTTTATTGAAATCTATGGACTGGGTGACTTAAAAGCAAGACCAGGAAAATGACTCGGTACAAGGAGAGAGCCCACCCTTAGAAGGAGCCTTCACTCAATCTTTACATCCAAAATATGCTGCTATCCTTCCTTCCTTTCCTCCTTTTATCCTTCCATTCCCCTCTATTTCCTTGTCGCTGTCTTCCTCCCTATCATCCATCCATCCATCCATCCATCCTTCATCATCTCCCTTGTACTTTCTAGTAATCAGATGTTCCAGACCAGTGTTCTGCAGCCAAGCTGCCTAATGCAAATCCTGGAGCTACCACATACTGGCCGTGTGACCTGGACTCACAAGGTCTATGTCTCAGTATCCTTATCTATATAATAGGATTGCCGTAGTTTCTACCTCATTGGGTTGTTAAGAGGATCAACTCTGCTAAGCATGGGCTTAGCATGCAGATTTGCACATAGTTAGTACTCAATACATGGAGCTGCAGCAGAATTACTCATTATTAAAAAAAATTTTTAATCTAAAGACGAAGTAGATATCACATTTAGGGATTGATTCCTGCCCCAGCATAAAAGACATTTAAGAAGATCCTTGAATGGGCCATTGTTAATGCATCTCTTTTGCTGAAGCTTGTTTTTATTACTTTGACTACCGATTTGTAAACTTCTGCCTGCACCTGGGGCTTGTTAAAACACAGACTGCCAGGTCCCTAAAACATGCATTTCTAACAAGCTGCCATGTGCTGCTAGAGCTGCTGGTCTAGGATCACACCTTGAGAACCACTGGCTTAGACTCTCCATCTGGTTCCTGACTTCCCTCCTGCCAAGCGCAGCAATGCAGGCACCAAGATAACTCCCTGTTTTGCCTGCCCTACCACATTATGTGGAGACCTACCTGTGAATGCTTCCTTGACTTCCTGCACTCTGACCACCCCCTTGCCTTGTCTGCAGGGCTATGTCTGTTACTGTCCACTACTAACATATGGCAGGCTGTGAACTTACATTAAGGGAACCTCCTGGATCCAGGCTTATCTCCTGCCTCCTTTTCTTTACTTTCTGGTTTAGTGTTCAGGGCTATCTCAACAGGCTTTGTTACCACCGAGTTCTGGAAAAGCCACTCTTGATCAGCGGTAACCACATGAAATTCACTGTGACACTGAAGACTGTAAACAGCTCACTGCACAGGTAATTTTTCCCAAGGGCATAGATCTCAACCCTGCCTAATATCTTGACATAAATTCTTAAGTGACAGGCTGATCACAAGGTCCTGACAACTCATTCAACTTCTCAGAATAGGGAAATAATGATAAAGCCAGCTCAAAGCCTGGCTGTCATGAAGGAATACCATCACCACGGCCTTCGATAGGATGGCATTCGGATAAAACCCTATGAGTAGCAGAGATGGAGATAATTTGACATAATCTCTTCTTCGTGATTTCATAGTAAGCCGTCGTGATCACAATTTACTTTTCTAAGTGCTAACAAAGCATCTATTTCATAAAGCACCCCACAATTTTGCTAGGGGCTGCAGTTTACCTGCTTGAGTTAGAAGAGTATTTTAAAAAGTTCCGTGACACATTCCATACCAAAAAAGTTTTCATAGTCAAATTTTCACAATGCTAATTAGCTCATTAAAGTACCTGAGAGGTCCCACACAAAAGATATTTCAGTTTGTCTCATCCAACATTCCAGAAATTTATTTGATTATGGAGCCCTCAGTTTTTATTCATATAACATTTATGTACATTTTTTGAAAACATACATTCATTCATTCAAAAATATCTATTGCCAGGTATAATTTTAGGAACCAGGGATACAGTGATGAATAAGACAAAGCCCCTGCTCCCTTAGAGATTACAATGGGCAGTGCAGAAAATAAACAAGTAAATGAATAAACACACAATTTAATTTCAGATAGAGACAAGTGTCATGAAGAAAAACATAGTGGGGCAGAACTAAAGACTGAACATTAGGACAATCCAACATTTGCAGTTTGGGAAGAAAAGTAGGACTCAGCTTAAGCACACAGTAAGGAATGAGGCAAACCTAGACGGGGTAAGTTTTAACAGCCTAGAAAAGAAGGAATTTCAAGAAGAAGGGTCATTATCAATGGTGTCGAACATATTTGAAAGCCTGAGTTGGTTTCAGTGAGGTAGAGGGGACAAAATTTTAAAATCCCATGAAAAGATGCTCAACATTATTCGTCATTAGGGAAATGCAAATCAAAACCATATTGAGATACCACTTCATACCCACTGGGGTGGCTATAACCAAAGAGAAAGACAATAACAAGTGTTGGTGAGAGTGTGGAGAGTTGGAAACCTCATACGCTGCTGGTGGGAATGTAAAAGGATGCAGCTGCTTCGGAAAACAGTTTGGCAGTTGCTCAAAAAGTTCAACATAGAGTTACCATATGACTCAGGATTCCACTCCTAGTATTTACTCAAGAGAACTGAGAACATATGTCCACACAAACATATGTCCACATTCTTGTGCAAGAATGTTTACAACAACATTATTCATAATCACCAAAAAGTGGAAACAACCCAAATGACCATCAACTGATGAATGGATAAACAAAATGTAGCACATTAAGAATATGATTTGACCATAAAAAGGAATGAAGTAAACTAAGTGAAAGCATTATGCTGAGTGAAAGAAGCCAGACACAAAAGGTCACGTATTATATAATTCCATTTATATGAAATGTCCAGACCAGGCAAACTCACAGAGAAAGAAAGAAGATTAGTGGTTGTGAGGGGAGTAAAGAGTGACCACAAATGGGCAAAGGGTGCCTTTCTGAGATGATGGATATGTTCTGGAATTACATAGTGGCAATGGTTGCACAACTTTGTGAATATACTCAAAACAAGGAATTGTACACTTTAATAGGGTAACTTTTATGGATATCTCCATAGAGCTATCATTTTAAAAGAGCTAAACTGCAGTGGGTTTAAGAGTGAGAGGTCCTTCCTCCTCCACACTGCCTCTGCTTCTCCTTCTGAACACATCTATTTTATCCATATCCACTCCAGGATGGTTAGTGTAGTCATATTGGTATCTTCTATCCATGCTGTAACATATTGCAATTCAATTATAAGAGATAAAGTCACGGTGGGGAGAGGGCAGGGAAGACTACCCTGTACCATAACTGGTGTCCTGCAACCCATGCCAGTTGGCCCCATGTGAGTCCCTCTCCCCCATCCCCGCTATTGAGCAACTGCAGAAGGCAATAAAGAATAACAAATAATGCCGTGGTAGAAAGATAATGGCCACCCCCAAAAATGTCCATGGCCTAATCCCTGACCTGTGAATATATTAGGTCACATGGCAAAATAGAATTAAGTTTGCAGATGAATTAAGATTGCCAACCACTGAGTCCAAAATTGGGAGAGTATACTGGATTATCTAGGTTGGCTCAACGTCATCACAAGGGTCCTTAAAAGTAGAAGAGCGTGAACATCATTGAAATTTTGAACTTTGTACCTCAAAGGACACAAACAAGAATGTGAAAAGTCAAGCCACAGACTGGCAGAAAATTTTTGCAACTCGCATACCTGATAAGGAACTTGTATCTAGAATACATAAAGAATGATTTACAACT